ATTCACGTAGCTGAAGTTGCGTAGCTTAGTTCGAATTAGGGGGGTAGTGTAGACCAAGCCTAAGATTACAAAAATTGTAAGTAAAGCAAGGAAATGCATTAGATTATCTTTTGGTTTAGCTTGTGAATTTTCCCTATGCTAAGAGGGAGGTTTATTCCTGCTTTTTGTAACTTTGAAGTTGAGCCTAGGGGGGAATCCTCTGTGTTCTCAATCTTATTACCCTGTAAAATTACCTTCCATTCTGATTTTACAGAGTTGCTGCTTTTACTTTTTTCTTTATAATAAAGTTCTTCTTTTAAGAACCTGATTGTTTTTTGGTGTCCTAAAAACCCAAGGGTCTGGTCTGTGCTCACTTGATTAACCTATTGGTTGGTATATTATACTCAAGCCTCCCCAAGAAAGGGGGTGAAGGGGCTTGGGGGGATATTTTGGGGAAATAGGAACTCCAAGTGGTCCTTTTCCTGAATCTTTGCCTAACTCACTTGGTGGTGGCAGCAATACCATCCATGGACAAGGAAGGGATTTGTGCCTTGGGGAAGTTTTTAACCTGAGCTGGTAGAAATAAGCTTAGGGGGTCTTTCATGTGGGTCACCACATCTGTACCCCAGAGATCAGAGTGGGGAGGGAACCCTGACATGGTGGCAGCGTGGTGGGATAATTTTGAACCAGAAGCACAGACCTCAGGATTTTAAAAACATTTTTTCTTTTGGCTGATTGAAAACCAGGGAGGTTTTTTTTAAAAGGATACTTTTAAGCTGAGAGCAGCTGGAGTTTTTTTTTCTTTGCCTGGAGGCAGAGGAATTAAGTTACAGCAAGGGAATTAACAAGCTGGGTTTTTTGTTTTTCTTTCTTTCTTTCTAGCTCTCAGGTTGGGTTAGGCTAAGCTAAGCATAGGAAGGCTAGAGTGACGTAAAGTGAGGTCCAAAAGAAACTAGAATTAGCCAGATTGGAAGCTGAAGAGATACAGAAAGAACATGAAAGACAGATGGCCTTAAAGTGCTTGGAATTGGAAGCGGAGGAGAGGCAACATGCAAAACGCTTGGATACAGAATTAGAACTGAAGCGCTTAGATCTGGAAAGGGCTAAGCTGAGTCTACCAGATAACCCTGACAATCCTTTTCCAGGTACCGCTCCCCATTCCAAAAAATTCCCCACCTACAAGGTAGGCGATGATACAGAGGCCTTCTTAGAAAATTTTGAAAGGTCCTGCCTTGGGTACAGCATCTCTACAGATCAGTATATGGTGGAGCTGAGGCCACAGCTCAGTGGACCCTTAGCAGAGGTGGCAGCTGAAATGCCTAAGGAAACATGAACAGCTACAAACTTTTTTTTAAAAAGGCCAGAATTACAATGAGGCTAACACCTGAGCATGCCCGTTGGTGGTTCAGAGCCCTAAGGTGGAAACCAGACGTGGCATTTTCCTGACACGCCTACCACATTGTAAAAAAATTGGGATGCCTGGATATCAGGAGCAAGTGTTAAATCTCTGGAAGATCTGTCTTTCCTAATGCAAATAGAGCAATTCTTAGGGGGTGTTCCTGAGGAAATAGAAAGGTACATCCTAGATGGGAAGCCCAAAACTATAATCGAGGTGGGGGAGATCGGAACCAAATGGGTGGAGGTGGCAGAAAAGAAAAAAGCTAGTAGCAGTTGGAGCAGATATCAGAAGGGACAATCCGAAACACCACCTTACCACCGGGGGCAGCCCAAGGCCCCATCAACATCCCAAGGAAAACCCCAAACACTTTATCGTCCCACCCCACCAGTCTCCAGCAACCCACCTTGCCCCAGTGACCAGTCAGCTGGGCGATGTTTTAAATGTAACGAGCTGGGTATTGTAGTTCATTACACCAGAATCACACCAAAGTTCCCCAGGCCCAGATGCTTCCCAGATACCCTCAGAGTGAAGGGAAACTGTGAGTGTGGGCGGGAAGAAGGTTATTGCGTGGAGGGACATTGGAGCACAGCTGTCAGCTATCCACCAGTCCTTAGTGGACCACAAATTCATCAACCCAAAGTCCCAAGTGACGATTCAACCCTTCATGTCCAACTCTTTAAACTTGTCTACAGCCAAGATGCCTGTCCAGTACAAGGGCTGGTCAGGAATGTGGACTTTTGCAGTCTATGATGATTATCCCATTCCCATGCTGCTGGGGGAAGACTTGGCCAACCATGTGAAGCTAGCCAAGAGGGTGGGAATGGTCACGCGCAGCCAGACTAAGCAAGCCTCCATACCTATCCCTGTACCAGAGCCCCAAACTGAGGTGGTAGAACCGGATCCCCTGCCAATGACTGCAACAGCCATAGTGGATCCAGTCCCAGAGACCCAACCAGAACCAGTCCCAGAACCAGAATGGGCAGAGCAGCCAGCACTGAATCCAATCTACCACTCCAACGCCAGAGGGCACCACTGAGCCTGCACTGGCAGCAGCAGATAAATCTACGCAAGAGGCTCAGCCGAAACCTGAAATACAACATAGTGCACCAGTGGAGAGCGGGTCACAGTCAACGAAAACAACTCCATCACCTACATCGCTTCCAGAGGGACCAAGCCCAAATCCACAATCCAGTGAGGAACTGATGTCTCCAGCATCAAGGGAACAGTTCTAGGCTGAGCAGGAAGCAGATGAAAGCCTCCAGAGAGCTTGGACGGCGGCACGGCGCAACCCACCAACTCTCAGCTCCCGGTTTGTTGTAGAAAGGACTTTTATACAAGAAAACTCTTTCTGGTGGACACCAAGAACACTGGCCTCCTCAAAGACAGTTGGTAATTCCAACTAAGTACCGGGTAAAGCTCTTGAGCTTAGCCCACGATCATCCTAGTGGCTATGCTGGAGTGAACAGGACCAAAGACCGTTTGGGAAGTCCTTCCACCGGGAGGGAATGGGCAAGGATGTTTCTACCTATGTCTTGTGAGGTGTGCCAAAGCGTGGGAAAACCCCAAGACCAGGTCAAAGCCCCTCTCCAGCCACTGCCCATAATTAAGGTTCCATTTCAGCGAGTAGCTGTGGATATGACACCCACATGGCAGGAACTCAGATGGCTGCCACAACCTGTGCTATTTGGGCCTTCTCAGTGGCCTTGCT